CCCACCCTGTCCACCAAGCCTTTTACTTGATGGGTGATCCCTTTCCCTGGCACCACAGGGCCCATCCTGTCCACCAAGCCTTTTACTTAATGGGTGATCCTTATGTTATAGCCTCAGCTGGAAGGGGTGACTTTTTTCATCTTCTGTTTTTGTTTTTGTTTTGAGCCTGGGCCTATGTTAAGATTAGCTGAAGGTGGCATAGCTTCTGTGGAAGGAGACTGTAGCTAAGCTCTTCATAGTCCTTTTATTCTTCCAGTAAACTGCAAAATAAATCCCCACCCACGAGGAAAACACTCTGTTCCCCAACAGTAAAACAGCTCAGCTCTACTTCGAGGCCACTCATCAGAGTCCTGTGAAAGGGGCTGAGAGCCCACAGCATCACCCTGGACCGCTTCCTCTCCTCGCAGCTGAAGGGGTGCAGGGCAGACATGTTTCCCCAGAATTGAAACTGGGGCTGTGGACCCGGCCACTTCTGTCATTTCTGCTGCCTCAGTAGCACTCTTAGGGATATGGTGTTACCTTTGTCTGCACCCTTCATTTGAGTTTTTCCATACACATTACATTTTTTTTCACATTACATTTCTTTTTTTTTTTTCAACAAATAATACACTGCATATATTCTTCTTAGTGGTTAATTGCTGTACAAGATGCGGACTTGTGATCCTAAAAAATGGCAGAAGTGTCACATTACATTTCTTGAAATCATACATAGGTATCTTAATCCACATGTGCTAATACTCAGAATTTATTACCAGCCCAGTGGTATAATAAACCCTTATATATGTAGTACCTTCTCTTGATAAAGGACTTTGTTTTGTATTTCATTTTGTTTTTTGAGACAGAGTCTCACTGTGTATTGCAGGCTGGCTTTAAACTTACTCTGTAGCCCAGACTAGACTTAAACTCCTGGCGCTCCTCCTGCCTCAGCTGAAGGTCCCTAAGTGCTGGGATTGCAAGTAGGAGCCGCCACACCCAGCTCAGATAAAATGCTTTTAATACCTTGTCCCTTTAGAGTCTCAAGGGATAGAGGAGCAGTTCCTCTTTAGGTCTTACAGACAGGGAGTTTCTCTCTATCCCTGTAGTGTCCTGCTGACGCAGGGCACTGCACTCTGGTGGGAGGGACTTCAGATGTGTTCACCGGGGGCCAGAGCAATTTGCCTGTGATCTCAGCCCTCCCAGCCTGACCCCCATCTTCCCCAAGGTCGCTGTGGTCATGGCTTTTGGGTCAGATGGGCTAACCCTTATAATCTCAGACAGCACGTGGCCCAAACTGCAAAAGTTAACATGAGCAGAGTCCTTTCTGGGACTGATCTCTGCAGCACGGTGCCCACGGGCGCATTCTCTGAGCTCAGCAGTAACCATCCTCCCTAAGCAGCACAGAATGACCAGGCCAGCATGACAGTGGAGTTGCAGCTGAGAGTGAATCCAGCGTGGCCAGGCTGGGCCCTGCTGACAGCTGTGGGTGGTAAGAGTCCAGCTTCCTGGAAAAGTGAGCCGCACACCAGTCCACAGTACAGTCCAGGGAGCCACTCCCAGGGGAGGCTGCACCCAGACTCCTGGGGCCTCCAGAGCTGTGGCATAGAGTCTAGGTGCTCTTAGCCGGGACTGGCAGATCTTTTAGAGCTTTTGATGATAGCAGACAGTCAGGACAGCAGGCGAGTTCTTCACGGCTGAAATGTAGAGGAGCAAACCAAAGCTGCTCTTGACCGCCAGGGCCCTGGGGCTGGGTTTGCAGCTTGTACGTTGCAGATAGAGCAGCATAGATAGAGGTTCGTGCAGTCAGTGGACACTGGATTTATTTAGTGGGCATTCATTATGCCTGTCCTGAGCAGGTAGTGAGTGACCCTTTGTCCCAGTGGTGCACCAGAACAGCTCACGGCAGACAGGAGGGGCTCTTGAGGCAGCACTTCTTTCCTAGCAGCAGGGTGCAGGCTCGAGGCAGCAGCCCTGCTCTTTCCCACTGGGCCTCTCTCTGTGCCTCCGGTTTCCTCCCCAGCACAAGGGCGCTGGACCAGGTTGGGAGGGTTTTGTCTGCTTACAGCTGCATGACTCTCAAGCTGGTGATGTGAGCTGGTTGAGTACTAGAGCAAGCAGCTCTGCATGGCTGCCCCCGTGCCTTTGCCCAGCCTGCCCTTGACTCCATGTCTGATCTCCAGGGAAGAGAAGCCCAGCGGAGGGTCCACCGACCCAGGTGCAATGGCCACGTCAGCGCCGCTGCGAAGCCTGGAGGAGGAGGTGACCTGCTCCATCTGCCTGGACTACTTGCGGGACCCTGTAACCATCGACTGCGGCCACGTGTTCTGTCGCAGCTGCACCAATGACGTGCGCCCTGTATCGGGGGTCCGCCCCGTCTGCCCGCTTTGCAAGAAGCCTTTCAAGAAGGAGAACATCCGGCCTGTGTGGCAGCTGGCCAGCCTGGTGGAGAACATCGAGAGGCTGAAGGTGGACAAGGCCAGGCAGCCCCGTGACACAGCCCAGGAGCAGCTGGACGCCCGGCTGTGCGGGCGGCACCAGGAGAAGCTGCACTACTACTGTGAGGATGATGGGAAGCTGCTGTGTGTGCTGTGCCGGGAGTCGCGGGAGCACCGGCCGCACACAGCTGTCCTGTTGGAGAAGGCCGCCCAGCCCCACAGGGTGAGCCGGGGCCGCTTCCGCCTCAGGGTGTCATCCTGTGGTCTCCTGGTCTGGCCTTCATCCTCCACACCATCCTAGAGCAGAGTGTGCATCTGTCTACTTTCTTTCCCCAGGAAAAAATCCTGAACCACCTGAGTACCCTGAGGCGAGACAGAGATAAGATTCAGGGCTTTCAGGCGAAGGGAGATGCTGACATCCTGGCTGCGCTGGTATGAGGACGAGTGGGCCATTCACTGTGTGGGCAGGGGACGCTGGGCAGGTGATGGCCGCTGGTGGTCGTTATTCTTCAAGCAGCTTGAGCAGGCGTCGGCCTGGCACTGGCACTCTGGGTTTTAGGCCGAGCTGTGCCTGTGTGAGCCAGCTGCGTGCTTCAGGGCCGGTTTCCCAGCTAGCCGGGGAATGGGTCTCACTGTCAGCAGGGTCCCTTCCCTCCTCTGACTCGCCTCAGCCCTTTGACTGGCTGCTGTGGCTTTTCTGTGTGGGAACCTTCAGAGTGGGAAGAACATGGTCCTGGGAGTGCAGGCAGCCAGAGGACTTGGGAAGAGGGAGCTGGCTGCAGGGAGAAAGTAATGCCAGAAATGGCCTGAGCTCCAGGAGCAGTATGGGCCCGTGGCATGGCTGCTTGGACTCGGAGAGAGTCCAAGGCACGAAAGGATGTGTGCCTGTGCGCACACGTTCCGAGTTCACTGAGAAGACAAGCTGCAGTCCTGCAGGCAGGCTCAGCCAGAGCTGGGGTGGCGTTCATCAGGAGAGCTTCCTAACAAGAACAGACACCTCTCCTGATCTTAGCCAGAAGGCCAAGAAGTAATAGACTGAGCCTCCTGGAAGAGGCAGCACTCAGAGCTTCTGTCCAGGAGGGAAGGTGTGTTGGCTCATGAGCAGCAGAGGGCTCCTCCGGGGGCTGCTCTCTGGCTCACCAAGAGCAAGTGCTAGCTGAGCAGTCTGACATTTGGTCCTGGTTTCGGGAGGGAGCGACTTGGGTCACCTCACAGGCCAGGGCTTGTGTGCGAAGGGGAGGGTGGGCCTGGGTCACCTGACGGCATCTGCCCTTCACAAGCTGTAGAACTCATGAGGAGGGGCCAGGCAGTGCATCCCTAACTGAGTCCAGAAAGCGCTACCCTGTCACCTTCTGGCCCTTGCAGACAAAGCTGCAGGAGCAGAGGCAGTCCATTGTGGCAGAATTCAAGCAGGGCCACGAGTTCCTGAGGAAGCGGGAGCAGCACCTGCTGGACCAGCTGGCCACCCTGGAGCAGCTGCTCACCGAAGGCAGGGAGAAGTTCAAGACCCGGAGCTTCGGGGAGCTGGCCCGGCTGGGGGTGGTCATCTCTGTGCTGGAGGACAAGGCCCAGCAGCCGGCCGCGGAGCTCATGCAGGTGAGAGGCTTCGCCCAGGAGGCGAGGGGCAGGTGCCTGCTGGACCGCCATTCTGGGGCCAGGGAGCTGCTGCCTCTCAGGCCTCGGCTTTGCCATCTGAAGCGTGTGTCATTACTCTCACCTCTGCTGAGGGCTACACAGACATGAGGGAAGATAACTGACCTTTCGCTTCAAATATTTAATTGTCTGTACCAAGTGTTTAGGAATTGAGGAGTGATGTGAAGATGGGAGGGAAGCACTGTCCTCCATGCTCACTGCACCCCTGAGGGCTCTCCTGGGAATAGCTCACTGGCAGAGGCTTGCTTGGTGGAATTGCCATGCGGTTCTAAAGGAAGAAAAGTGCGGTGGGGCGAGGGAGGCCTGAATGTGCTTGACCCAGAATGTCTGGAGGCGAAAGGAGATGAAATGGGGAGGTTTTTTCTGGGACCATGGAATTAATCCCCAGAGAACTGAGGGGAGAAGTAAGGCCTCTGGAGAGCTCCCTGGAGGAGGTGGCTGTGACACTGAGATTGTCAGGTGTGAACTCCTGTCGCCAGCCTTTGGAGGGCTGGGGCCTCCATCTCTATCCCAACAAGCCAGGACAGGGAGGATCTTGCCAAAGTGCGTGTTGTGGAGTGGTAGGACCTGTCTGTCAGCAGTGAAGCCACTGGCCTCTCTAAGAAAATCAGGTCCCTAGGCAGTGGCAGGGCACAGTGAGGGCCAGGAGCAGAAGTGGCCGTTGAGTTCCCTGGCCTGCAGCCTGTGCATGCCATGTGCAGGGAGCTCTGTCGGCTGCTCCCTCGTGGATGCACGTGCTGGGGCAGAGGTCCAGTGAGTGGGAAGGATTGGTCCCAGGCACGGGACAGACCAGGAGTCGGGTGAACTCAAGCCCAGCCCTAGACTCTGCTCTTGTTCTTTTCTCTTGTTTTGTCTAAAATGTCTTGGAGCCCCCTTGTTTTCTCTAGCTGTCAGTCTGTTCCCTCAGATTCTTCCTGTCAGACTCCACCTGGAGCCCCTTCGCCTCTCCCTTGTCCTGCTTTCCTCCCCCTTCAGGGATGCACAACTTTTAATGCCATCTGGGTGTATCTCTGAGTGGAGAGAGGCTCCTGGCTGTGGGCTGAGGATACTGCGCAGGGGGTGGCTCGGGTGGAACTGGTGCCTGAGGGAAGGGAGAGAAGATGGTCGTTACTGGCTCAAATAAAACCTTGGAGACAGTGTTGCTGGTGGGCTTTGTGTGATTGTGTCTGAGTTAGCTACAAGGAGCCTGTGGAGCTAACTCCATAGTTACTGTTAGTATTTGGCTGTCAGGAAATTGCAAGAGGATAGCCAGAATTGGATACAGAAATCAGAGAGAAACAGGAGGGAGAAACAAAAGGCAGTGTGAGAAAAACAATGACTTTGATAAAGAGAATGGACAGGGAAGGGGATCCCCTGGGCTAGTGGAGTGATAGGGTGATGGCTGTGACACGTGGGCTGTGCTGGAGGCCAATGTGTGCCTGCCTTCCTCGGTGGCCCTGTCCGCCTGGAGCACTGTCCTGAGCCTTCTCTGTTTATAACCAGAGGTTGCCAGACTGCCACAGACAGGTGTGTGAGAAAGTTCTCCTGGAGCTGCAGGCAGCTGCTTTCCTCTGGAACTGGATTGCTGCCAAGCCATCCTGCCCCTGCCCTTGGCAAGGCCTGTTTTCCGCCCTGCTCACACCTTTGACCCTAGAAATTGTTTTGCTCGCAGTCCTGTTCTCTTTTCCAGCAGTTTTCCTGTCACAGTGTATGTATGCTTCACGCCACCAGGTTGGCTGCTAGAGACCGCGTAGAAAGATTTGCTGGAACCCCACAGCCAGTCCTTGGCAGTTGCCTGGTCAAGGGGCAGGCCGTAGCTGAAGCTCTGACTCTGTCTCTTCCCTGGAGGAAGTCCTGCAGTCAGGCCTTCCAGACCTTCTGGAACACTTTGCACATGCAGCTAGGTGATTCCTTTAGTTTCCCAAATCTCCCCTCACCAGGAAGCCAGCCTTCCTGGCCACAGCCCCTACACTCCTCCTGATCGGCGCTGAGGTTTGGTATTCATTATGGTGCTTGTTGGTGTCTGCTTCCCCTGCTGGGCTATCACCTGTACTTCACTCACACAGGAGTTTGTGTCTTAGTTTCCTCTCTTCCAAGCTTCTCTATTAGCGCCTGACACAGGAAAGGATTTGCACAGTGTAAAAGAAGACACAATTCCACAGAATACCATGAAGGTTTTAGACTCACAGTGGGAGGATTAAGCAGCACCCCACCAGGACCCTGTTCCAGCCCATCCTGTCTCTTCTAGGGCAGAGGTCTAGAGGGGTTACTTCTGTCTGATGGTTCCATTGGCTTTCGGGGCTGTGGTCCTTGGCCTTGGGCTCCAGTTGAGTTCATCACCCCCATGTCTGGAATTTCGCTGGGGAGAAAAAGAACTGGAAAAGTTTTTCCTTCCCCTTCCCTCTTCCTCCCTCCCCCCTCCCCTTTACTCCCCTCCCTTCCCCTCCCCTCCCCTCACCTTCCCCATTCCTTTTTCTTCCTTCCCTCCCTCCTTTTTTCTTTGTCTTTTCTTTTGCTTTTCTTCCAACAAGACCCAGAAATCATCATTGCTCTCGTTCACACTGCATTTGCTGGACCTTAGCTGTGTGACTGGTCCAGGCAGTGTAATTCAGGGTGGCCAAGTGCTGGCTCTAACTCCAGGGTTCTGTCCTTGGAAGTAGAGAGGATGGGTCCTGGAGGGCCCTGACTGTCCCAGCCTTGTGTGGAGCTGGTCGTGGTGTCTATCCCTGCTTGAAACCCTTTGGTGGCCTTTCTCTGCACATGGAGTAGAGTCCTGGCCTGCACCCCGCCTCGCCTGATCGGGCCCTGCCGCTCCCTCCATGTCCTTTCCCACGCCTTCCTGCCAGTGTGCTTTCTTCTCCTGTAAGCCTTAGCTCAGCTGTCTGCTTGGAGATTCTGGCCCGGTTGTCTCCACTGCCATCAGCTCCTGTCACTGTGATGACTTTGCTGCTTTCTGGTTGTTTTGTCCGTTACCCCCGTAGAGGGTCAGCTCCCCCAGGGCCCGTGTGCTCCGCTGACTGCTGTCCAGACCACGCTGGGTGTTGTGAGTGCAGCCTGGCTCGGTTCATGTTGATGCTGTCTTCTCTTCCTTCCAGGACACCAGAGACTTTGTGAACAGGTAAGAGTTTCCTCCGCAGTGTACATGTCCCTGACCTCTCCCTCTTCCTGGACCACGATCAGGCACACGGATGAGCCGTGTGGTGCTGGAGGCCCCCGCCCCCTGTCCCCACCCATGGCTTCTGGGAAGCAGGAGCACGGGCTCACACTAGAGAGTGCTGCCCTACATGTCTGTGTGTGCTGCCAGGTAGGTCCCAGCCCGTCCTGTCCTGTCCTGTCCAAGGCGGGATGTAGAAGGCAGAAACTGAGCTGGGCAGACAAACTCACTCCTAGGAGAAGTCTGGGGTCTTTGGGCCTGGCCCGTGGGGGTCTTTGTGCCTGTTTTTCTGCCTTTTGATAGGCAGTGATCAAGCCTTTTCCTCCCTTCTCCATCAGAAGCACACGATGGAGGAGGAATGAGAAAAGCCATGCTGCCTTTTCAGGTATCCACGGAAGAAGTTCTGGCTTGGAAAACCCATCCCTCACGTGGTTAAAAGAAAGACCGGAGAGTTCTCAGATAAAGTCCTCTCTCTTCAGCGAGGCCTGAGGGAATTCCAGGGTAAGGGTCGGCAGGGGCCACAGCTTAGAGAGGGCACCTGGCTCTGCCCTTCGTGTTCTCTGACCCCCTCCCAGGCTCCTGCTTGGGGTCTGGGGTGGAGCCCTGTCGGAATGATGTCGTCAGTGAGGGTCATCACTGCCTTCTTTCTCCCCAGGAAAGCTGCTGAGAGACTTGGAATATAAGACAGGTGAGTGTGCTGCACTCGTTCAGACCCCACTCTGAGACAAGATCCCCTAGAGCTCCAGCTGCCCTCCCCAGTGCCCTCCTCGCTCCTGCAGCAGGAGAATTCCCGGCTGCAAACCAGGAGCCTCTGCTCCTCATGGCCTCCGCAGAAGGTCGGGCTCGCTGTGGCCCGTGTACGGTGGTTTTGTCTGTAGCTGAGTTTCTTGTCCCTGTGACCTGAGTGCCACCGAGCTGCCCTGACCAGGCAGCGATCTGCTGCGGGTGTGCAGTGGGTCCCCCAGTTGACACTGCCTATGCACCAGGGGATAAGATGTGCCCTTGGGCTATGCAGCTTGCTGGCTTTCTGGCCTACCTGCGACACTGACTTCTCCCCTTGTCCCTGCAGTAAGTGTCACCCTGGACCCACAGTCAGCCAGTGGGTACCTGCAGCTGTCGGAGGGTTGGACAAGCGTGACCTACAGCAGCCTGTACCAGAGCACCTACCTGCACCCTCAGCAGTTTGACTGTGAGCCTGCCGTGCTGGGCAGCAAGGGCTTCACCTGGGGCAAGGTGTACTGGGAAGTGGAGGTGGAAAGGGAGGGCTGGTCTGAGGATGAGGAAGAGGGAGAGGAGGAGGAGGAGGAAGTAGAGGAGGAAGAAGAGGAGGAGGAGGAAGAGTCTGGCCACAGGGATGGCTACGATGGTTGGGAAACCGAGGAAGATGAGGAATCACTGGGGGATGAAGAGGAGGAGGAGGAGGAGGAGGAGGAGGAAGTGCTGGAAAGCTGCATGGTCGGGGTAGCCAGAGACTCCGTGAAGAGGAAAGGAGACCTCACCCTACGGCCAGAAGGCGGGGTGTGGGCACTGCGCCTCTCCTCCTCCAGCATCTGGGCGAACACCAGCCCTGAGACCGAGCTCTTCCCCGCACTGCGGCCCCGGAGAGTAGGCATCGCCCTGGATTATGAGGGGGGCACCGTGACTTTCACCAACGCAGAGTCACAGGAACTGATCTACAGCTTCACTGCCACCTTCACAGGGCGCCTGGTCCCCTTCCTATGGCTCAGGTGGCCAGGAACCCGCCTTCTGCTGAGACCCTAATCCCCAGCCACTGATGCATTATTTCTTTGGGGGCCGAGGATGCTGGCTGGGGAAGGGACAGGGAGATGGACCCCTTGTCCCCTGCCACCTGCTGCATACTGCGGTGACCCGGACCTCAGCACTCTCTGCACTGCTCTGCTACCTTCTCTCCTGCTGCTGGTTTTCTGTGGGACCTTCTGACCCGGAAGTTCACCAGGATCCTTTCTTCCTCTTTGGTCACTGTGCCCTGCTCTGTACTCTGAGATTGGGGGTTGGGACCACATGCTCTGGCCCAGCAGTACCCTGTGCTGGCTGTTCTTAGAAGGATGTCAGTTACACCTAAGACCATTTTGATGTCCTCAGACCCTGAGGAGTCCCCATTCCCAAATTCTCTGACATTTTGAGCAGACCTCCCCAACCCCAGCTCGGAGTTAAAGATCCATGACACAAGTCAGCACCCACCTGGCGAGGAGGCATCCCGGGCCGTGGGGCCCTGCTGCTGGGAGTGCTAGCGGGGATCACTTCCTCGTGGTCTCAGGGTCCGCGTTCGGCTTCTGTAGCTGGAGTCGCCCTGGAGCCAGGTGTGTTCTTGTGGGAGAGTAGGGGCCTTGTGATGAGGTCACCGTGAGAGCAGGGATGGAGAAATCACCTTGTGCAGCCCTTGTGAAGGGAGTTTTCAAAAGGATCCAGAACATCTGACTTGTTAGCACCATCTGAAACCAGGGCAGAAGCTGGGAGAGCAGCATCTCCCTGCCCAGGGCACTCTGGGCAGAGGACGAGGCCCATCGTTGGCCCTGCTCAGCTTGGGCTTGTCTCATAGAGCGCAGAGAGAAGACGGGGCTGGGCAGGGAGGAAAGGCAGGGCTGGGGCCCACGTTTTCCTTCTGGAGGAAGTTGAAGGCTCAGCTCCTGGGCCCAGCCCAAGCCCCCACCCACTTTCAGGGACCCTGGTGCTTCCAGTCCAACAGGAGCGCCACAGTTTAGCCAAAGTGACCCGTCTTCATCCTGACCCCTCCCAGATACCCCTCCAGTGTCCCTTCGCCCTGAGCCTGCACCAAGCCCTGTGGGTCTCGTCCTCAACTGCCACGTGTGTCGTCCCCAACTCCCCAGACTGCATCACATGCTGCCTGAGTTACACCCACGTTATTTCTGCCTCTGGCTTGGTCAGCTCCTGGAGGGCTGATGTCATTTCTGACGACTTGTGTTCTCTGTGGCACCTTGCACAGTGCTGAGCACAGCGTAGGTGCTCAATAAAGACTCGTTGAATGAATGATCTGGAAATACGTATTTTTATTACAACTCAGCCGTCACTCAAGCTCACTGTGGCTTCAGAGGGTTCCTGGGGTTTTCCTTTTGTCCAGGACTCTCAGACTGCTCCCTCTGCTCTGTGTGGGCTGCCCTTTCTGGGGCTTTCAGGGAATGTCCTGTGGACATGCAGCAGCCACCGCTGCGGCTCCACCTGGTTCTTCTGCCTGACAGTGGTGCCTCAGCTGGCCCAAGCATGGAGCAGGGCTGTCGCCTGGCCCGAGGATGGCTGCAGCCTATGCCTTGCTCAGGAAGTGGCAGCACCCCCATCCTGGCAGCGCCCCCATCCTGGGAGTGTCATCCCCAGGGACTTCCTCTTACCCAACATACCCAGCGGTTCAGTTTCCTTGAGCCCAGTCCATCCTTTTGCGCAGACTGCTTGTGTTTACCTTCATTTTTCCTAAAAGGTAGCCTCTGGGGAGGAAGGTGGAGTGCCCTGCTGAGCCGTCCTCCCTGCGCTCTGTGCTCCCAGGCTTGGGCTGGCATTCAGTCTGTGTGTCCATAAGGCTGTCTGCACCGGGGTCTACCTTTGTGTTCCAGTGTGCTTCCCTTGTGCTCCATTTCTTGTGACAGTACTAACTGGACACTGAACCCTTCCCTAGCTGTTAGAAACCCCAAGCCGCTCGTTTGTTGGGTGAATTTCGCCTCCTGTCTGCCTGGAGTCCACTGTGGCTCCCTCACCGTAGGCAGGCCTGGGTCTGTTGGGACATCAGACTGGAGGTCTGAGGTGGGTTCCGTCCGATGCTTTGTCTTGTGTCTCCTTCATTGGAGTGAGATGTCATCCAGGGCCTTCCTAAGAAATGGTGCGTGGGAATAGCATTTTGGATATACTGTATGGGAATTTCGCATTTAAGAGGCCCTCTCCAGTGTAGGGCTCCTGTTGGAACAGTTCTCTTTAGGCTGCCCCAGGCTATCCTGCCTCCTAGCTGCGCTGGTGGCTGTTGGGAGTCTGCAGCGCCCGCCTCCAAATGCCTTGGGGTCAGTGTTCATTTCACTGGGTTTGGGGTCCCATCCTAGTCTTTCCTTTGCCGTCTTCATGTGCCTTGGTAGGACTCTGACCTTCCCTTTTATGTGTCTTGAATTTCACGACTTTTTCCTACCTTCTCTTTCTCTGTGCTCTCAAATCTTGTGTGCAGCCTCCACGCATCTCAGGGACTCATCGGGTACCTGCGACGTACTGTGTCCCTGGCGCAGCTGTGAGGAGCTGCCCAGCCTGCATGCTAGAGCTGGCCTTTTCTCAGCACAGTACAAAGCTCCCAGAGCGAAGCAGAGAACCAGGTTCGGTCTTGGGAGGAATACTGAGCGGCTTCGGGTTCTCAGCACTGCCCGTGGCAGCAGTACCCTTCCTCGGGGAGCCTGTGTTGTGGAAGGGAGTAGTGGGCAGTAACAGTGGAAGTAGCAGACAAGCAATATGGAAAATAGGTGCAATGGCGAAGGAAAGGTGTGGCCTTTTTGGTTTTTTGAGACCGGGTATCGATATAAGTTTGGGCTGGCCTTGTGCTCACTTTGGCAGCCCCCACGCTGGTCCTGACCTCGCAGCCATCCTCCTGTCTCAACCTGCTGATTCCTGTGTAGTTACTCCTTAATGTAAGAGTTGGACTCTGGACTTGGTGCACGCCTGAAATGTTGGTAGTAGCAGGAGCAGAACACGCAGCTAGCTAGGGCAGGGGAGACCTGAGACCCTGGAGGTGGGCGTGGGCGTGGGTAGGGTGTAGACAGGCAGGGGCCAGGATCTGGCAGTGTGGAGGGGCTGCAGATGAAGTGAAGGAATGACTACACCCACTCGGGGTTCATGGGAAAGGTGCCAGCAGCCGCCCAGGCCTGTGTGGGGGTGCCCTGTGCCTCCCCAACAGGGTGACCTCTGAGCACAGCAGACTCATTCATGGACTCTCTTGCCCTCTGCCTTCCAGGTTAGGTAGTGGGCACCTCCACAGGGGAGGAGGGGGAGAGGCTGTGCCTACTGTCCTGGGCTAGGCTTGGCCAGGGCTGCTGTCCTGCTAGGGCTCCGCTCCTGGCAGGGACTCCCCAGCCTAACCTTGGGGCCACCTACCCACACCCCTTGTTAGATGGTTCCTCCCTCCCTCCTCTAAACCCTAGGGAGTTAGTCCCTCTGAGCAGTGGTGGAGCAGGAAGGGGATGATCAAGAAAGAGGACATGGCTCCCTGGGGAGAGCTTGGGAACAGGCCCTGGCAGGTGGTGGGCAGAGAAGAGCTTGGGGTGGCCGGGGCTGTGATGAGACACCGGGCCTCTCAGGAGCAGCAGCTCGCAAGTGTGCCTGTCCTGAGGCCACGAGGGCCTGCGCCTGGCCAGTAGCGGGGCTCCGAGAGGCCCAAGAGCCCAGCGTTCCTGGAGAGTCGGGAACCCCTGAGACAGCATGACAGGCGCTTTGGTGCTCGTAGTTACACTTCTCGTTTGTCTTTGGTTTAATTAGGACCATGAATGAAGGTTAAATAGGTGGCTTCCTTATCTTGTATTTGGTTTTTGTTGGTTTTTTGGGACAGGGTCGCTCCGTAATTCAGACTTGAACTCACTGTGTAGGCCAGTCTGGCCTTAAAATTGCAGCAGTCCTCCTGCCTCAGCTTCCCCAGAGCTGGGTCTGTATACGTGGGCCCCCATGTTTGGCCTTGTACTTGATGTCCAAAGGGATGTTTCTGTTAGTTAGTTGGAATTGTGTTCAATTTCATGATTTTGTAATATATTATTTTAGGTACTAAAATACACCTAATTTAAGCATTTCCATTTGGAAATGCTTTTTTATTTCTGTTGAGTTGTGTTTTCTCCTTTGTCAGTGAATGGCATTAATGAATGTATTCCATTTTGTATTCCTGGAAAAACTAATTTTTTTCTACTTGATTCTGTTTATTGATTTTATTCACAATTTCTATGTCTATGTTGATGAGTAAAATTGGCCTAAAGATTTCTTCCTGTATATAAAATTTATTCAAGTTTATATTAAGCTCATAATGAATTGGGAAGGGCCGGCCAAATAGCTCAACAGATTAAAGTGCCTGCTTAGGCAGACGTGGGCTGGAGTATGATCCCTGGCCTGCTGTGCTGGCCCCACTCCTGGGGTGCACTGAGACGTGGACTGAGACTGGGTGTGGTGGTACACACCTGTAATCCCAGTGCTTGGGAGGCTGGAAACAGGAAACTCACTACGGGTCCAATCTGTGTAGTGAGACCCTGTAGACCCTTTACTAAATACAAAAAATAAATAAATTGGGAAGTAGTAGTCATTTGTAGTGGAACTATCTTTCCTTTTTTTTTTTTTTTTAGGTTCGGTAAAATTTAGCTATAAAACCTAGAAGAGCTGGTATTTATTTTCATTGGAAGGGTGTGAGTGCAGGAAAGAAACATTTGATTTTGTAAGTGGCTAGAGTCCTATTCATGAGTCATTGTGAATCAACTTTTTGTAGATTATATTTTTTATGAAATTATCGATTGTGTATTTAGTCCTTAATATTAAGCTCATGGCATAATTCTGTCCTATATTTCATCTTTAATACTGTCCATTTGTAATTTTACTTTTTATTGATTAATGTTGCTAAATATTTGCTCATGGTAATCTTTTCAAAGAAAACAATTTAAGTGTTATTGAATGTTTTGTTTCATTTCTATTTTATGTATTTTTGCTCTTTTAAAAGGCATAGTTTAGGGCAGGCCAGAGAGCTTAGTGGATTAAGCAGTGCACCTGTTTAGGCAAAGTATAGGGACCGCAGGGACCAGGTTCCATCCCCAGCCATGCCTTTGGGGTGCGCTGAGACTGGGCTGGTGACCCGCTCCTGTAATCCCAGGACTTGGGAGGCTGAAAATAGGAGGACTACGTGTCCAGTCTGTGTAGTGACATCCTATAGATCCTGTACTAAATACAGTAAAAAATAAAAGGCATAGCCTATTCTTTTTAGCTTATCAAGTTAGATACTTTTTTTTTTAAATTTATTTACTTATTTATTTAGTATGTGGCCAGCTCAGCCCACCAGGGGGCGGGCAGGCCAGCATGTGGTGCTGGGGGATTGAACCAAGGTCTCTGTGCTTTGCTTGAGTTTAGCTTGTTCTAAGTAGGTGCTTTAGACCACTGAGCCATCTCACCAGCCCCTCAAGTTAGATATTTTGATCTCACTTTTTCTTTCATCTCTAGTGTATGCTTCTAACACTATAATAGATTTCTTTTAAGCAATACTGTGGATTTAAGGCTATGTCCACAAAACTTATTGATACTCTTTTCAGGAAGTAGAGGAGTATATTCAGGAAGCTGAAGCAGGAGGATTGCTGGGGGTTGAGGCTAGCCTGATCTACATAGTGAAGTCAAGGGCAGCCTGCACTGCATGGTGAGACCTTGTCTCAAAAAAAAAAAAAAAAAAAAAAAAAAAAAAAAACAGAGGGTTGGGTATGGCTCAGCGGTAGCAAATGTGCTTAGCATGTGCAAAGCCTTAAGTTTGATCCCAGCACCAAAACAAATAAAGAGGTGGAGCTTAATTCCTCCTTCCTGTTTAATTCGTTCTTCTATGAGTATGCCCTGTATGTAGTGACTTGCTC